AAAATAGCCTTAAAAAGGAATAGAATCATAGAATTCTAGAGTTGGCAGGGAATTTACCCCTGTCAATGGCTTAAGTTCCTCTACAGCAAACACACCAAATTATTGACCAATTTTTGCTCAAATACATTGAGAACTTATCACCTCACAAGGCAGCTCATTCCATGTCTGGGAGACTCCCATTTTTATAGTTATTATTTTGTCTTCTTTTACGGAACTGTATCCCAAGATGCTAAATGACATAACATATATACTAGAACTACTGTTAGTGATTTTTGAAAGACTTTGGGAGTGGGGAGAAGTGGCGCTATAGGACTGGAGAAGGCTACATATTCTTTTTTTTTTTAAAGGAAGATATTGTGTTCAACAAATTATAGGCTACTTCTTACAGAATCAAGGACACAGTATTAGCCATGATCCTTGAAGCAGAGACTGTGTTTTTACCTTTTTTTGCATCCTCAGCACTTGGTACAGTGCCTGACACATGATAAGAACTTAATAAATGCTTATTGACCAATGAACCCCATCTCCTTTTGCACTATAATTACTAAAATGGTGGATAAAAAGAATGCTATAGACACAGTATGCCTAAATTTCAGCAAAGCATGTAACAAAAGTTCTCAGAGGGCAGCTGGGTAGCCCAGTGGATGGAGCACTGGCCCTAGAGTCAGGAGGACCTGAGTTCAAATCTAGCCTCAGACCACATGATACTCACTAGCTGTGTGACCCTGGGCAAGTCACTTAACAGTCTCACCAAAAAAGAAAAAAAAAGTTCTCATGTTCTCTTTGTGGACGTGAGATGGAGAAACGTAGGTTAGCTGACTATGTTTATGTGTATTCAGAACTGGATAAATTATTGGACCCAAAGAGTCAGGTCAATTTTAACCTAGAGAGATGTGTAGCATTCCCTGAATCTATCCTTATTCCTGTACTGTTCAACATTTTTATCAGTGACTCAGATGAAGTCAAAGATGCCATGATTCCCAAATTTACAGATGGTAAGAAACTGGGAAACTAATCCATTGAAGGGCAATGTCTAGATCAAGTAATGGGCCAACTCAAATTCGTTTAATAAGGTTTGATATAAAATCCTATGCCTATATTAAAAAAAATCTACTGCACAAATTCAAGATGAAGAAAGCATGGCTGGTCAACAGATCTTATGAAAAAGATCCAAAGGTTTTAAAGGACTACGAACTCCCATGTGGCATGGCTGTCTAGAAAGTTAATTCAGTCAATTAAGTAAGGAACATAATGCCCAGAGTAAGGAAGGTGATGGTCCTACTGTACTCTGTGTTAGACCACATCTGGAATATTGTGTTAAGTTCTGGATGTCACACTGTAGGAAAGATTTTGACAAACAGAAATACACTCCGAGAGCAGATTTCAAAGAGTTCAGAAAATGTATTGGTAGAATGCTATGAACTAAAATTCTGTAGTAAAAGTCAGCCTTAGAAGAATGGGAAGTTCTCAAGAAAGAAATTTTGAAGACACAAAGAGAAACAATGACAATGAAGAGGAAAGGGGTGGAGGCATAAGTGTGGATTTTGAGGAAACTTATCAACAAACTTAGACTTAAAAAAAAAGCAAGATCAGAACAAGAAGAGAAATGAATGATAAACATAAAGCCTGGCAAAAAGTCCTGAAAAAATAAAGCTCAGAATGAGTCAGGGCTGATGAAGAGATCTGTTAGCGTTTAAAAAGTTGCTTAAAAAAACTGTATTGGAGGGGAAAATGAGAATCAATGAATGGATAGGACCACTGTTTGGGGGTAGATGAAACAATGATAAATGATAACAGAGAAAGCAGAATTGAAGAATATCAAGGTAGAGTCAAGATGGTGGAGAAAGAAGAAATTTTTGCCTGCTTGACCCAATATACCTCCTTTATGAGTCCTGAAAATGTACTAGACTGAGTAATGATCAGAAAAATAAATGTGAATAATTTTTCCAGTCCAGGGGAGCTTAGGAAGAAAGAGAAATATACAGATATTGGGGTGGGGTCTGGCCAGGAACGGATGAGGAAGTGGTGGCATTTGCAGCTGGGAGCGTTCTGGTGTCCAGAGACAGAACACCAAGACAGGAAGTGCCTGGGCAGAAAGAGATCCCAGAATATTCCTGAAGTAGTGTTGGGTGCAGGAACTAGTGCTATCTGTCAGCTCTGTCTCCCACTATCTAGTTTCATGGCATGGATCCAGGATGAAGAAGAGCAGTTTTGAGAGAACAGGAACATAGGTCCAATCTGAGTAGTGAGTAAGAAACAAGTTCTGGAAACATAGCTAAAAGGCTCTGAGGCCAGGAGCAGAGCAGGAGAGATTCAATTCTAATCTTTAGCCCAGCGTCTAAGCCTTCAGTGGAATAACTAGGAAAGGAGACCAACGCCAAAGGAGCCAGCAGTTTCATTCAGAAACATCAGAGCCTCTCAGTGGGCTAACAGTAACTAAATCTAGCAACAGTCTACTGAAACTCAATTACGTACAAGCTAATAGACCCAAACCTGGGTTGAGAACTTGCAAAACTCAGACCAGCAGGGCAGTGAACAGACATCTCAGATCACACCAATCAGGGGGCACTGAAGCCCCCCTAGATCAAAGCAGGGAAGCAGCAGAAGGACATAAAAGGACAGAAACTAGATTGAGATATTCCCCCTCACTCCTACCTCCCAGAATGTCACTTAATCCGGCAATAACATAAAGCCTAAAGTCAAGAAATAGTTTGGAAGAAGGAGCAAATAAACAAACAAAATAACCTGACCATAAAGAGCTACTGTGGTGACAGGGAAGCTCATAACAAACAGAAGAAGACAATTACTTGAAAACATCTACAAGCAAAGCCTTAAATAAAAATGCAGATTGGACACCAGAACAACAAGAATTCCTAGAAGAGTAAAGAAAGAAGTTTTAAAACAATCTTAAAAATCAAATGAGAGCTATGGAAGAAGAATATGAAAAAGGATTAATAGCTTGATAAAAAAGACATAAAACTTTATTCAAAAAATAACTTTTTGAAAATTAGAATGGGCCAAATGGAAGCTAAGGCTTCCATGAGACATTAAGAAATAACAACAACAACAGCAACAATAACAAAAAGTTAAAAGACAGAAAATAGGAGAAGCTGTGAAATATCTCATAACAAAAAATGACACGATTTGAGTATGGTTTGTGGACACCTAGGAAAGAAACCCGCTATCCCGAACAGAGCTATCATGGCCTCATCAAGAACAGGTCATGACAGATGAAACATTTCATTTTTTTGACAGAACTACTAGACTGGTAGATCGGGGGACTTCTGAAGATGTGCTTTACCTAGATGTTATCAAAGTATTTTATGATGTTTCTCATGTTATTTTTTCAGTTTTCTCAGCCTTTTATTTTTAAAGTTTAGTGTTTTATTTTTCCCCAGTTACATGTAAAAACAATTTTTAACATTTTTAAAACTTTGAGTTCCAAATTCTCTTCCCCCTTCCCTCCCCATCTCTTCCCACCCCCATTGAGTAGGCAATCAATTCGATATCAGTTATACATGTGTAGTCATGCAAGACATTTCCATATTAGTCATATTATGAAAGAAAACATGAACCAAAAAAATACCTCAAAAGTATGCTTCAATCTGTATTCAGACATCACCAGTTCTTTTCTGTGGGGTTAGATAGCATTTTTTATCATAAGTCCTTCAGAGTTGTCTTGGATCATTATAATCTTGATTCATGGGCATACCTTAAATTTTCAATTTTTTTTTTTTTGGCGAGGCAATCAGGGTTAAGTGACTTGCCCAGGGTCACACAGCTAGTGAGTATTGTGTCTGAGGCTGGCTTTGAACTCAGGTCCTCCTGACTCCAGCTGCCCCACTCAATTTCCAATTCTTCACCACCAGAAAAGAGCTGCTATAAATATTTTTGTACATATGCATCTTATTTTTTTAATGTTTTATTAATATTTTCTTTTGTATTACTGTGATTTCCTCACAATCCCTACCTTAAAATAAAACCCTCCTTTGTAACAAAGAAAGATAGTTATGAAAAACAAATTGACCCACTGACCGTATTTAACAATGTATCTTTCTGTACTTGTAGTCCACTGTTATTTTACGAAGAGGAAAGTGGTATATTTCATTATAAGTCTTCTAGAGTCAATTGGTTATTGTGCTAACTAGAGTTCTAGTGTCTTTTAGTGGTTTAAAATATATATGTATATGAATATATATGTATGTATATGTGTGTATATATATATATATATATATATATATATATTATTGTGGTCTTTGTATATTGTTCTCCTAGTTCTGCTTATTTTGCTTCCCATAAGCTCATACAAATTTTCCCAAGTTTCTCTGAATTTCTCCTGTCTTTTATTGCAACACAATAATATTCCACTGTAGTCATATACCATAATTTATCTGGCTATTCTTTCATTGATGAACACCCACTTTGTTTCTAATACTTTGCTACCATAAACGTGCTCCTACACATCTTTTGATACATATGGGGCCTTTACTTTTAAGTGTTATGATTTCTTTGGTTTATCTGCCCAGTGAGGATAGAGTAGCAGGCCTGGAGCCAGGAAGATTCATCTTCCTGATTTCAAATCTGGCCTCAGACACTTACTAACTGTGTAACCCTGGGTGAGTCACTTAACCCCTGTCTGCCTTTGTTTCCTCATTTGTAAAATGAGCTGGAGAAGGAAATGGCAAACTCTAGTATCTTTGCCACGAAAATCCCAAATGGGGTCATGGAGAGTCAGACAAGACTGAAAAATGATTGAAAAACAATCTGCCCAGTAGTTTTATGGCTACATCAAAGGATAAGAATAGCTTAGTAATTTTTCTAGAATAGTTCAAAATTGTTGTTCAGAATGGCTGGACCAATTCACAGTGCTACAGCAGTGTGCACGAATATGCCTGTCTTCTCAGGGTCCGTCTAACTTGGGCTATTTTCATCTTCTTTCATCTCTAACAATTTTCTGAGTGTGAGGTAAAACATCAGAATTGTTTTAATTTTTATTTCAGAGAATCACAGACTCTCAGAAGCTATCCAGTCCAATCAATAACTGACATCCGACCTCTCCATAACAAGCACAGATTGGGGAAGAAAAAAAAACCCATTGTCTTCATGATTATTTGATATTGTGGTCAAGAGATGACCTGTGAAATAACATCTGATGACTTTTACATTCAGCAGTGTGACATTTGAAGTTTTTTTATTAGTGTTTTAGAGAAGTTTTTTTTTCCCTGTACAGGTATTGATACTTTGCATTTCTTCTCTTGAAAATTGTTTGCTCCTATCCTTTGACCACTGACTGATGACTCTTGGTCATAAACATTTATATCAGTTCATTTTTATCTTGGATATCATACCTCTATGAGAGATATTTTGTGCAAAGTTTTCTCCCCCAAAGAGAATGTTCTCTTCTCATTTTGTTAACATTGATTTTGTCTGCACAAAAGCTTTTAAATTTAATATAATCAAAATTGTCTTTTCTTATCTCTGTCTTTTGTTTAGTTACGGCTTTTCAAACCCTAGATTTGAAACGTACCTCCTTCTGTTCTCTTCTACTTTAAAAATAAATGATAGGGCCTTTTATATTGTTTGCTCATCCTCTTGGAGCTAATTTTGGCATGTGGTGTGTGATATTAGTCTAATCCTAATCTCTGTCAAACTCTTTCCAGTTTTCTCAGCAATTCTTATCAAATAACAATTCCTTCCCCTAAGAAGTTTATGTTCCTAGGTTTTCCAGATGCTGGGCTGCTACGTGAAATTAGTTCTGGGTTTTGTGTTCCTAATTTGTCTTCAAAATCAACTTAATTTTTAAAATTAGTACCAAATACATTCATTAATTCTTGCTTTATAGTATAATTTGAAATCTGTTAACATTAGACACCCTTTCTGCCTGTTTTTTTACATTATTTCCCTTAAAATTCTTGACCTTTTGTTCCTCCAGATGAATGTGATTATTTTGCTTAACTCTATTAAGTAATTCCTTAATAGTATGATTAGGATAATACTAAAACTGCAAATTAATTTAGGTAATATTATCATTTTTTATATTAATTCTGCATAATTCTGAATAGCAAATATATTCCAATTATTTGTCTTCTTTATTTTTCTTTTTATTTAATTTTTTTGTATTCATTTAGTATTTTATTTTTTCCCAGTTGCATGTAAAAACAATTTTAACATTTGTTTTAAAAACTTTGAGTTCCAAATTCTCTCCCTTCCTCCCTCTCCACCCCCTCCCCATTGAGAAGGCAAACAATTCAATATAGGTTATACATGTGTAGTCATGCAAAACATATCCATAATAGTCATGTTGTAAAAGTAAACACAGACAAAAAAACTCAAGAAAAATAAAGTAAGTCTTCTTTATTTCCGTAAAAATATTTGTAGTTAGATTTATATGGATTTCAAGCATAACTTGATAGCTTAAATCCCAGATATTATATGAATTTCATAGCTATTATAAGTAGAATTTCTTTTTCTATCTCCTGCTTTATTAGTAATGCAAAGGTAAGCTAATAATTTTTATGGTTTTATTTTGAATGTGACTAATATTCTGAAGTTGTTTAAGTTAATTGTTTAATTGAATCTCTGGGATTCTTTAAATAATTCATCATGTTACCTGCAAGGGAGGCAGTGGGGTATAAAGGATAGAGGGCTGGCCTCACAAACAGGAAAATCTAGGGTCAAGTCCCAGCTCTGGCTTTTTGACCCTCGGCAAATCACTTAATTTCTCAATGCCCTAGCCAGCTCTTTAACAGTATAATGCAGAACCGTTGCCAATCTACATTAGTAGAAATTTTCTCTCCAAGAGTTCCCAATTCCAATGAAATCTGAAGTCTGGTTGAAAAACAATCATCTGAATTAATGTTAATTTTTACCTTCTCTTTGCCTATATCTATTCTCTCAATTTTTTTGTCTTGTCTGTGTCTAAACTTTTTAGCATTATAGCGAATGATAATGGAGACAATGGACATTTTTGACTTATCTCTGATTTTGTCGGGAAATGTTTTAGAGTTTTTCTCCATTACAAATAATAGTTTCAGATATATGCTTTTGCCAATATTAAAGAGAAGTCCTTCTATTACAATTTTTTCAATTGGAATTGAGCATTATATTTCATTGAAAGTATTTTCTGCATTTATTGATATACTTGTGTGATCTTTATAATTTTGTTTTTAATATAATTTATCATGCTTAGAGTTTTAATAATGTTTTTGCTTTTCTTTGTATCTCAAATGTAGCACATTGCATTGCATATAGTAAGTGCTTAATAAAAGCTTTTTGATTGATAAATTCCAAACCATTCTTGCATTCCTGGCATAAATCCAACCTGATCATAGTGAATACTTCTGAATATATTTCTGTAGAAACTTTGATAAAATATTATTTAATTTTTAATCAGTATTGTTCTATAGTTTCATTTCTCTGATTTTTCTTTTCCTACTTTGCATATCAGGACAATATTTGTTTCAAAGAAGGAGTTTGATAAAGTGATGTTTTATTAATGTAGCAACTAGGTGGTGTAGTAGATAAAGTTCTAAACCTGGAGACAGGAAGATCTGAGTTCAAATCTAGCTTCAGATGCAGACCAGCTGTGTAACCCTGGGCAAGTCACATCACCTCTTTCTGTCCCAGTTTCCTTATCTACAAAATGGGGAGCATAATGGCATCTACCTCTCAGGGTTGTTGTGTGAATAAAATGAGATAATATTTTTGAAGCACTTTGCTAACCTTGAAGTGCTATATAAATGCTAACTATTATTATAATAAACATAAAACCTGATACCACTCAATGCAGGCACTCATTCTCATGTCCTAATTCCTTCAATACCCTCAAGCTCTAATCTTTTTATCCTGAATGCTTGAAAGTCCTCTATTCTATTAAGGATCATTTTTTTTTCTCCTGTAGAATACACTCCGTTTTGCAAGGTAAGTTACTTTTGGTTGTAAGCCTATATCTTTTAACTTTTGGAATACTGTATTCCAAGATCTTCTCTTGTTTGTTGTAGAAGCTACCAACTCTTGTGTGATCCAGGCAGCCATGATTCCTTGGTACATGAACTTTTTCTTTAGGGCTACTTATAATAATTTTTTTTTGGCCCTGGAAGCTCTGAATTTTGAATATGACAACCCTGGGAATTTGCTTTTGGGTTTTCTTTTAGGAGGTGAACTGCGAACACTTTCTTTATTCATTTTGCCCTCTAGTTCTAATAGATCTGGGCCATTTCCATTTATGATTCCTTTGAATATTATATTCAGGATTTAAAAAATAATAGTTTTCAGAAAGTCATATTCTCTCTCTTTTTTATACTTAATAGTATTTTATTATTTTCCCCAATTACATGTAAAGATAGTTTTCAACATTCGTTTTTGTAAGATTTTGAATTCCAAATTTTTCTCCCTCCCTCCCTTCCTTCCCCACTCCCCCAAACAGTAAGTAATCTGATATAGGTTATACATGTACAGTCATGTTAAACATATTTCCACATTAGTCATGTTATAAAAGATGAATCAGAACAAAAGGGGAAAACCATGAGAAAGAAAAAAGACAAAAAAACAAAAAATGAGAATATTATGCTCCAATCCACATTCAGACTCCATGGTTTTTTCTCTGAATGTGGATAGCATTTTCCATCATGAGACTTTTGGAATTGTCTTAGATCACTATACTGAGGAGAGCTAAGTATATCATAGCTGATCACTTCACAATGTTGCTGGCACTGTGCACGATATTCTCCTGGTTCTGCTCACTTCACTCGGCATCAGTTCATGTAAGTCTTTCCAGGTTTTTCTAAAATCTGCCTGCTCAACATTTCTTATAGAATGATTGTATTCCATTACATTCATATATGACAACTTGTTCAGCTATTCCCCAGTTGATGGGCGTCCCCACAATTTCCAATTCTTTGCCACCACAAAAAGAACTGTTATAAATATTTTTGTGGTTGGTACCTTTCCCCCCTTTTATGATTTCTTTGGGATACAGACCTAGTAGTGGCATTGTTGGATCGAAGGGTATGCATAATTTGATTACCCTTTGTTCATAGTTCCAAATTGCACTCCAGAATGGTTGGATCAGTTCACAACTCCACTAACAATGCATTAATGTTCCAATTTTCCCACATCTTCAACATTTATCATTCTCCTTTTCTGTCATATTAGCCAATCTGATAGGTGTGAGGTGGTACCTCAGAGTTGTTTTAATTTGCATTTCTCTAATCAATAGTGATCTAGAGCACTTTTTCATATGGGAAGTCTTATATTCTTAAATTATCTCTCCTTGACCTATTTTCCAAGTCAGTCGTTTTAGATAACAGATACCTCATATTTCTATTTTTTTTTCCAATCTTTTCCTAATATTTCTTTTTTTGTCTTGTGAAATAATTAATTTCTTGTTGGTCTATTCTGATTTTCAGAGAGTCTGTTTTATGGTAAGATGTACTACTTTTCATTCTAAACAATTTATTCTCCTTCCAATTTCCTTCTCCAGAGGTATTTCATAAAATTTCTTGCTCCCTTTTTTCCTATATACTCATTAATTTCTATGAATTCTATACATTCATGTATCAAATCTTTGTGGAAAATCCATTTTTTTCTGTGAGTTTCTGCTTGCAGTTGTTGTGACATTAGTTTCCTGTTAGAGTTTATATTTTAGGGAATTTTTAGATCTATAATAATTCTTCATACGGTTGGTATCTTCTTCTGTTTACTCATGTCTTCAACTTTAGTTTATGAATTGGGGCTTTGTGCTCGGGCCGGGTCTCATTCCCTGTTGTGCTTTTGGTTGAGGTGGCTGGATCTGTCTGGTCTTGACATGAATCATCGGGATTCCTACTTTCACGTCCACCTTTAGGGTGTCTATACTTACTAGTGCTTGTAAGTTTTAGTTATAACTATTGTTCTCAGCCAAGGCTGGGATATTTTACGGGAGAGTATCCTAACTAGTGGAGAGAATGCTGATAAAATGTTGGGTGTGTGAGGAGAGGGACTTTGACAAGAGCTTTGTGAAGAAAGTAGCCTTCTCTTCACCAGTTAGGAAAGCTTCTTGCAAACTGCCCTAGGCTTGGCTGGGCACAGTGGGTCACATAGGACCCACCTTGATCCTCAAGGTTCAGAGGACAGGAGCTTCAGGGCTCTTTATGGTTTCTCAGAATAGAATGCTAAAACCTCAGAGCTTCTGGAACTAGGGTGTCTTAGTCCATGCCCTATCTCATCTGAGCTGGTTGCCACTGCCTCCTTTTGTTTGTTTTTGGCCATGGTCCAGAATACAGGTTTCTGACAAGCATAATGACTTATTGCGGGAGTCCTGACCTCTTATTGTCTCCAGGTACAGTCTTTCAGTCTACCAGAGTCTCTGATAGGTCTCTGGTCACACCAGAAGACTTCTTTCTTATTTGCCTATATTGGGGCTAGACTTTTTGGAGATTTTCCTTTCCTATTGGCCTTGGGTTTTTAGTTGACTTTTGGTACAGTTATGGAGTGGATGAAGTCACTTAATGTAAGTTACAATATTTTCCTTGATCTTCATTTGGTCTGGTGCTTTTTTTAGGTTTTTATTTTTGGAGTAGGTGTGTGGGAGCTGAGCTACCTCCTTTGTTCAAGCAGCTATATTGGTTGTCAGTCTCCCAAGCTGACTTTCGAGACTTAATCAGTCTTGATACCTCAAGACTGTCTATCTTCCAATCCATTCTCCCCTCAGTTTCCAAAGTTATATTCATAAAACGCAAGTCTAACCACATCACTGCTCTTCTCCGGTGGCTCTCTCTTACTTCTAGTATTGAATATAAACTCCTCTGTTTAGCATTTAGAATCATTCCAGGCTTAACAGACACTGTCTCCCTTTAGACACGATGTTGCAGCCAAACTGAGGTACTTACTATTCCCCATATATGACATTAAGTGAAACATCTCTGTGACCCTGCTTAGGCTGCCTAGAATGTTCTCCCTTTTCTGTCTCTTAGAATCCCTAACTTTTTTCCAACCACGGTTTAGGTGATGCCTCTTATATAAGTTCTTTCCACTCCCCCAGATAGTAGTGCCTGCTACTAATTGCCTCCTTTATTTTGTCTTTATTTTTGTCTCTGTACAGATGTTTATGTGCACGCATACTATCTCCCTCTATAAAATATAAGCTCCTTAAGGACAGTGACTGTTTTG